TGAATATTTCGATTAACTCTAGATATGTTATGAAGAACATATAGAATCGACCACTTCTTCTGGTACCTCCCCCACAAAGGGGTCAAAATTTTGAATAATTATAACCCTTATAAAAGCTGAAATTAACTTCCGATTCTTTTGAAATTTCACACATCTCAATACTTTTATTTACACATGATTTGATGTGAAGATGGTAGATATCGACCCACTCCTTTTGGTACCTCCCCCACAAATGGGGTTGAAATATTGAATATTTATAACCCTTACAAAATTTGAAATTAGAGTTCGATTGTCTTCAATTTGCACACATCTTAATATTTCAATTAACTCTAGATCTGGTATGAAGAACGGATAGAATGGACCACTCCTTCTGGTACCTCCCCTACAAAGTGGTCAAAATTTTCAATAATTAAAAGGCTCATAAAAATGCGAAATAATTTTCTGATTTTCCTCAAATTTCACATAGAGCAATATAATTATTAACACAAGATCTGATATGGAAATGGTAGCCATTGGCCCACTCCTTCTGGTACCTCACCCACAAAGGGGTTACAATTTGAAATAATTATAACCCTTAAAAAATGTGAAATAAGCGTCCGATTCTCTTCAAATTTCACGTATTACAATATTTTTATTGACTCAGGATCTGGTTTGAAGATGATAGATATCGGCCCACCCCTTCTGGTACCTCCCCCACAAAGGGGTAAAAATTTTGAATAATTATAACCCTTATAAAAATTGAAATTAACATCCGATTCTCTTGAAATTTCACACATCTCAATACTTTTATTTACACAAGATTTGATGTGAAGATGGCAGATATCAGACCACCCCTTCTGCTACCTCCCCCACAAAGGGGACACAACGCTCATAAAAATGCGAAATAACTTTCCGATTTTCTTCAAATCTCACACATCGCTTAACACAACATCTAGTACAAAGATGTTATATATTGGCCTACCCCTTCTGGCACCTCCCCCACAAAGGGGTCAAAATTTTAAATAATCAAAATGCTCATAAAAGATGAAATATGCTTCCGATTATCTTCAAATCTCACACATCCCAATATTTTTATTAACACAAGATCTGGTGTAAAGATGATAGATATCGGTTAAACCCTTCTGGTACCTCCCCCACAAATTGTCACAATTTTTAATAATTATATCTCAGCGATTCTCTTCAAACTTGGTGTATCCAAATATTTCTCTCTTTTTTCCAAAAATATTTCCCTTACATCCTTTGAAAATATTCCTATCCCCAAGGACTGTGTCATGCCAACAGGTCATAGCCAAGACCATAAAAATTTATTTTTTTCTTGGCCCCTCAAAAAAATTGTTGCGCTGGTTTGCATGTTGCAACTGCGAAATATATTTTTGGTCATTTAAGCCATGTGAGCCAAGTATGGGTATGATGTTGGCCCATTACACACAGGCTACCGATGTTGTTGTTATTGTTTTTTTTTTTTTTTTTTTTGCTATTATTTGTTGAAATGTGCCACAAACCCATTAAAAGGTTGCCCAGGCATATTTCTCTTGACGCTGCTTATCGCCGTTGTATTGGTGGTGTTGGTCATTAGAGTTGTTACGATTGTTGTTGGCCAACAACAACAAAAAAAATGGAAACATTCAATGTTGCACATAACGAGCAACATGCCAGCCAATGAATGTTGTTAGTGAAACCATTTTAATTGTGGCAATTGTTTGTTGCACGTTATGTCTCTGGCTACGTGTGTGAGTGTGTTTGTGTGAGAGTGTGTGTGTGTGTTATGGACTATCGTCATAGCATTTTTCTGGCACTTGCAGTGGCTCATTTAATCGGCTACCTTTGCGAATTTATATAAATGATTTAATTTCTTTTGGCATTTTTTCATCCAACCACCAGCCCTCCCGCGGTTTCTGCCATTTGCTTTACGGCTCATGTTTCAAATGGTCGTTAGGTGGGGGGTGGGGGATTTTGTTGTAATGTGTTGTGTTTTTTTACATTCCTGGGCAATGTGGTTGTTGTTGTTGCTGCCACACTATAGGTGTTCCGCATTGATTTACAAAACAGCGTTTTCATTAACACAGGTGGAGCTGAATTCGACTCCCGCCATATAAAAACGTTTTGTAATTTCCCTCCATGGGTAATTAAGTTTATTTTTTGCGGATTTCGGGGGTATGGGAAAGCGATTTTCATATCATGAATAATTTTTTTTAATTGAATTAAACAAGTATTTAAAATAATAACAATTTATTTCGGTGTGATTACAGGCTGCTGATGAGGCGATAAAATGTTAATGTTTAATAGCAATGTAAACAACATAATTAAGGGGGGGTATATACAGGACAATATATGACTGCCACTGTGCAGGACAAGAAACTATACCCAATACTTAAATTATTTAAAAAAAGAACAAAAATTAATAAGGCTTCAATTTTTTTTAAAAAAATGCAGGTGTTTTTTTATTTCTAATTTTTTTATTAAAATATTAGGGTCCTTGGATTGGGAAATTATTTTAAAATATCTACAACCTTATAAAGGGATCCTAAAATAATTTAAAAAATTTTCGGAATTTTTTGTCTTGAAACAAGGTTCCAACAAATTTTTCAAACTAACCACGTAAACTATTTATTTCCCCCCAGTATTTTCACTCCTACTTATCTCAATTTTAGCTGCAAAAGTTTCAAGAACAACAAACGCGGCGAGCTCTGTCGCATACCCGGCTGTACAGTGCTGCCAGCAACGCCCGGCTCCCCTACCTCGGTACGACTGCCGCATGTACACCCAGAGGTATTTCGTCAATTTATACTCTATGTCTATACGGCAAAGGTAAGAGGCTACCAACTAAATTTACTCAAAATACTATTTAAAATCCGAAAATTTCCCCACCTAGATTTTACTGCAAGACTCTCGTGTTTTCGAGATGATGACATTGGCCCAGGACATGGGCTGCTGTGAGCTACGTTCAGCCTGTGAGGATCATGTCATTGCCACACTGTCGGTGGACAATGCTTGTACATTTTTGACGGCTGTTATGGAGATTCATGAAAAAGCGGGTGAGTCCAAGTAATTATTTAATGAAAAGTGAAAAAATCTTTCAAAATATTCAAAAAGTCTGATTTAGTACCACAGCGCCATCTATGTAATGTAACAAAATAAGCATTTTCTTAGTATATCATTCACAATAACGGTTTAGCAAAGACATGCACACTTTTGTGAATGGCTAACATAATGAACACAGCAGCACAACCATGTTGTCATTCACTGAACACACTCCATAACTTAAACATTAAGGGGGTTCAGTTGCTTTGATATGTTATGTTATTTTATATTCGGCAAGCCACAACGTTTGAGAAAAAGGAATATGACGTCCAAGAAAAGAGAAAATTAGCTTCCAAGACAAAATTAACACATTTTTTAAAGGTTGTAGTGATAATTATATACGATATTGGAAAATACCAGAAATAGGCTATAAATGGTTTTTGCTTTTAAAGGGCGATTTCTTTTTATATCCTCCACCCATGTCATTTAGTTTGTAATTCCGCGAAATAAGAATTTTAGATCTCACAAAGTATATATGTTCCCGATTAGCATGAAATTCTAAGGAGATTTAGCCATGTCCATACATCTGTCTGTCTGGCTGGCTGTCGGTGGAAATCACTCTAGCTTCCGAACGAAATGAAGTATGTTGATGAAATTTAGCTGAGATGGATTTTAAGTTCATAGAATTTTTTGTATTGAAAATTGAAGTCGTTTTGTCGGTTTTTGTCATATTTTTGAACAGAACTCGCCGAAAATTGGCAGTTTATATATAATTTAGAAATATCCTTGCAAAGAACTGTCAATATAAAATTTGTACTGGAACAGAAAAGTTAAGCAAAGGCAGGGGTAAAGTTAAACGGGGACTACACGCGAACTATGATCTATTGCTATGTTCCAGAACTGCAAGAATATACTAGTTTTGCAATTTTATTCTATCTTATAAGGGAAAATCGGATATCGCAGTAACAACAATTACATTCGTGCAGTTCTGGAACATAGCAATAGATCCAAGTTTAGGTATAGTCTCCATATAACTTTACCCCTGATAAGCGGTACTTTAATTTTTTGAGTTAGGCTGCAATTTTCAATTTTTATTTCAAATTTGGAGTTCGCAAAAGCTGTTTTTTCCTTGATACAAAATTGGCTGTGCAGATCCAAAGCTTTTGAACATTCGGTATTTTAGCTAATTTTTTTCAAAATTGAAGTTCGTTTCGAGGAATCTTAATCCGAAACTGTCGAAATGTCTAGAATAAAGGGGGAAATTGCCCCCTCTATTTTGGTTATTTTTCGATGAAATCATTCAAAACGCCAATACACGTGTCTTTTTTTTAGCTCTATTTTCATTATCTCCCGCCCGTAATTATTTTTTGTGTTGCACATGAATGAAATGCATAGATTTTATTAAGAAATATAATCCGAACTGCTTTCCAAGGCATAATTGGTTAATTTTTTTAATTTGCAATGAATGTTTTAGATAAAATAATAATTGATTCTTATTTTGAAAAAATCCTGTTTTTTACCTATAAAAATAAATGCAAATATAATAGAGACAGAAGTCAGGCACACTCTGAAATTTGTATTAACTAATAAATATGTTATGTTATAATGCAATCCTTCATATATATTAGTCAACAAAAATCTTGCAATAACCAATTTTTTTTACTTGCCAAAAGTTGTTTGTATTTTTTTTTAACAAAAATCATTTAGTCGTGTTTTTGCTTCTTTTTTATCTTTGTCTACAAGATAAACATTTTTTCCGATACAAGAATAATTTTCTAGTAAATAGTATAAATAATAATAAAAGTAGTAGATTAATATATATTTTGGATCGGAGGTATGAAATATTTACAATAAATTAATAAAAAACCTAAATGTGGATAATGCAAACAGGGTTTTATCGTTTGACATTGTTATAAGGTTATGTGAACCACCCTTGCTACTAATTATCGCCGCCGTCATTGCATTTCATATGAATACATCGCCGTTGTCATTTCACTGCCGCCTACGTCGTATTCCTTAAGACGCCGGGCCAAGAAACGCTTACTAAACAAAAATTAATAAAATTATAAGAAATTCTTGATATTCCGCTGAAAAAGTCTGCAAAACAACTGCCAAAATGTCCTTCAAAGGCAACACCAAAGTACAAAAGGTGATGGTACAGCCCATCAATTTGATTTTTCGTTATTTACAAAATCGTTCCCGCGTCCAAGTGTGGCTGTATGAAAACGTCAATTTGCGCATAGAGGGACACATCGTGGGATTCGATGAATACATGAATCTGGTGTTGGACGATGCCGAGGAAGTTTGGGTGAAGACGAGGACGCGTAAAAACCTCGGACGCATTATGCTGAAAGGGGATAACATAACGCTAATTCAAAATGTTAGCCCGTCCAAAGATTGAGGTTAAGTCAGTGCTGGAACAATAAACAAACCAAGGGGGAAATATAGCCGCGGAGAGACAGTAACAAAAGCGCGAATCTATGAAGTCAACTGTCTCCAAAAGGCCTTGGCGTTTATTCACTTTCTCTCCCGTACACTAGTATAAGTTGTATAATTTATATAAACAAATTAATAATCATTTTTGTCTCCTTTAAGATTCCCATGTTTCCTTATGATTTTCCATGTTTTTCCCTCTAGACACTATAAAGACTTAATGCAAAACAAATGCTCTGCAGATTTTGCGTTTTTGTAACAAATACAAAATCATTGTAAAGGGTCTGTATTGAAAGCATTTATACCTCAAATTTTACAAGACAAAAGAGAATGCAAAAACAATAAACTTGAATTTTAAAAGGAATGTCATTAAAGTGAGTATTTGATTTTCATTGCAGAATTGGGTCTAATGTGTGGTTCAAGAATACAGACTGCAGCAATACTAATAACCCGCAAAATATGGATTATTAAAAGAATAGTGAGTTGGAGGGCCCTGTTCGAATGTATTGAAATTGCCTCTTTAATAGGCCAATAGTCGAAGGAGAAAATTCCAATAAAAACATATTTGAAAGAAATTCCTTTATAAAATTATAACTTAATGTTATAAGCTTAAAAACTGTAGCCCATATCGATAAACGTATACTATTTTTATGCCTAACTAGAGAAATATATATTTGCTTGTAAATTTATGGCAAAAAATTGTAGGGACATAAATCAAGTTGGGAGGTTAGCGTATTAGACCATACTTTGTTAATTACTTCGAAGGTTCTAATTAGCGTATTATTGGGATGGAATTAAGTATGGATTTTTTGAGAGGTTTTTTTCACAGGAATCGCGTTTTTGCTTTGATCATTAAAAAAAACTTTCAAAAGCAAACAATTTGAACCGCTTATGGTTTTGTAATAATCCGGATGACAGACTCTCTTTTTACGAGTTTTTAATCAAATTTCAAAATCAATTTTATTGGCCAATCGGAGCATCTTTTTAACAAATTTAGGTAGACTATTTCTTAACTATTGTAATATCACTTTGGGATGTATGTTTGTAATGGATTCCCTGAATGTGTTACATTAAAAAAAAAAAAAAACAGATATACAAGCTGTTTTATTTTTACTGAGCTACACGAATCCTACTAGCCTAGGATATGTTAAGGCCTTCCCTAACAGCAATTATTGACTATCCACCGTTCTTCTGGTCATTTCCTATTGAGTGCATGTGTCATCTTCGATACATATTTTGATCAGTCTGTTTTGATGCGCCATTCTCTGGCCAAATACAGAATCAATTCATCTATAGGGTTAGACCCGTAGATGTACTCTGTTGGTATAAGGATATAAAAGAGATTCGTGCTTTTCAAAGGTTCTGTCAAATTATTTACAATTCTGTTGATGCAATTCTGGTTATCTCTTTATCTTTAAAATTCTTAGAGAAGAATGTGAATACATTTGGCTTTGGTACTGATTTTTTTTCCTTACCCTATTTTAATTTAAGAAGTTATTGTTATGAAAGCCCAGAAAGAAGTAAAACAAGTCACGATTTTATCGAAAAGAATCTTTCTAGCATAGTTGTTTCCTGCCTATCTTTGCATTTTCATTTAATATCATTAAATGTCTAACAGAACTCTTTTTGTAACCACTTTTCTTTTCAAGAATGTCCTGCTCTTTAGAAAAAATGATTTCCATATGCTTACCAATTCGTGCTACACTGGCATGGTTTCCTTAGAGTAATTAATTAATTTTGCTACGAAGCACCCTTTTCTTTTCTAATTGTTTGTTGCTAGGTTCCTCGTTAAAAATTAATGGTGTTCTTTTCGATCCTTCTTGAGATTGACCAAAATCAGCTTTGCTGGAAAAAAACTATTCAGAAAAACATTTTAAGACGGTGAAATACTGATTTATTTTAATCAATTTGTACCTCTGTACTACAAAATTTCCACTAGAAGCTATTTTTAAATCTCCACACAAATTGCCAAGCCGACCTAATCAACTCTGCTGTTTGAGATACTTGAAATTATTAATTTCATATTTTCTTACAAATCAATTTAACATTACTTTCCGTGTGAGCGTGAACTGCCTGACAGAGTGAATAGATGGTTCGACTTTTTTCCTTTGGCTTCATTATTGAATATTTATTTACTTATCATTTCATCTTCAAGAATTTCCATCCATCGTAGCTAGGTAAGAATAATTCTTCTTCACATACTTCGGGCTTGACCAAATTCAATTTAGTTACTTCCTAATACTACCTCGGCTTTGGTACATTTAAACATCTTAAAATTCCCTTTCATTTCCACTTTTTGATCCCAATCTTCATCATAGCTAGTAGAGGGTATTAGCTTTTAGTTTGGATGATTTTCCACAAACCTTTTCAGAAGAAAAATAAACTTCCTTATTAATAATGTTCCTGGCTTTCACTATTGTTAGCCCTACATTCCTTTTTGGGGGGCCTATACTCTGTTACTTCTACCCATCTGTTGGTTTTGAGGACCTCGTAGATACCAAAAGAGGGTTTTATAAGAATAGGACCAATTTTCAAACCCTAGAATGTTTTACCTTTAAAAAATAGAAAAATATAAAATCGCCTTCATTTCGGCTCCAAAAATTGTTTGTAGATTAAGTTTCGTGACGACCAATTGCTTTTAAATTTGATTGGAAATTGTATGAAATTTTCAAAATATCCACAATTAAAAATGACAGCTATAAAATAATTTAAATAAATAGCTTGTGATGGGCCTTTTGACACTTGATATCCTGAAGTGCGTACTCCGATAGATCTATGAGGAGTGTACGTGTACGATTCACATCAATCGTGGAGGTTTCTAATTGATTTTGTTGAAATACAAATCAATAATAGATATTTCCTTTATTTATTGGGAGAAATCTCTTAACGCCTTAAAGTATGCTTTGAATATTGACTTCAATCAGAAGGGATGCTTGCAGTAACTAAACAAGTTGTTGGCTAAAATAAATCGGGTAAATAATGTTTATTCATATTAAAAATTGTAGAAAACGGTTGAATGGAACTCGTGACAAATGAATTTTAAAGGGTGTTATATTCGGAAGATCTTTTGAGGCCACAAATTGTGTTTTTTATAAATAATTGCAATTGGAAGTTTTAAAAACAAGGTCTAGTAAAACAGCCTTTTATAAACAAGTTGAAGGCCCGGTGAATGGTACGAAAACGAGCTGATGCGTAATGAGTGCTCCTTAAAATAACCAATAGCTTGTTATAAGCGTTTTTTCATTTAAGATTTTAATATGACTATATTTTTTTTTCAGGCGCCAAATGTGCTGCCTCATTTATGGAACGTTGCATCATATATATTGGAGAAAATGCCAGGGAGTGTGTCAAGACAAATGCCTTTCTTAACCTCAAAAAAGAAGCCCTAATCAAATTGATATCTTCGGATTATGTGAGCTGAAAAAATATATCTACTATTTATGTGTAAATAATAATTAATTTCTTTTTTTTCAGTTCTGTTTGGAAGAAGAAGACGTTTGGCGTTGTGTTTTGGCCTGGGCCAAAAATCAGGCTGGCGTAACCCAGCCATCTCACACCCATTGGACAGAGGAGGAACGTGCACGGGTATGTCAACATTTACAAGGTGTCATCTGTCATGTTCGTCTGCTGCTCATCGATAGTCAAGTATTCGCTGAAGAGGTGGAACCAACAGGGGCTGTACCCATGGAACTTTCGCTGGAACGTTATCGTTATGCGGCATTGCAAAATTCAAACAAAACTGGAACATATGCCGGCGGAGGAGGTGGTGTCAGTAGTAATGGGAGTGGAAGTGCCTTCAATAGCTTGACGGGAAGTGGTATCAATTTTTCGGGTTCGAAAAGTGAGACAGATAAGAGATTGCAGCCTCGCCTCATGGTTAATATGTTTCCTGGTTCACAAATATTGAGGAATGAGAAATTGCATTTGCAAAGTGTTTTGAATAATTGGTGAGTATATGTTTTTGTCGAAATGAGGAAGGGTTTTGAAATTTAGAAAACAAAATTTGTTTATTTCCAGGTATGGTGCTCCTAAACAATCTTGGCGTTTGTTATATCGTGCCTCTACCCATGGCTTTAATTCGAATGCCTTTCATCGTTACTGTGATGGTGCTGCTCCTTGTATGGTCATATGTTTGGTATGTTTAGAATGAATTCCAAAGAAGAAGTTTGTTTTTACAATTGTTTTAATCTCGTCCTTAGGGTTCCCATGGCGAAATAAGTGGTGGCTTCACTGATGTTGCCTGGGCCAAAACCTCACGCAAGGGTGTTTACATCCATTCCGAGCGGGCATTTTTGTTTGCCCTCAATCCTGGAGGCTCTGAACAGCCCTTGAAGTTTGATATTGTCAAGAAACCCTATGCCATATGTTATCATCCGGAGTAAGTCTGGGATTTTTAAGGAAATTGTGAAGAAATATTTACTATATTTTTTTGCAGCTGTGGTCCTATTTTCGGAGCTGGTGCTGACTTGTTGATATCTAATAATTGCAACAGTAACAAGGATTCCTATTCCAATTTACCACATTCCTATGATGGTCCCAATGCTTCCTATGAAACGTTGTTTGGTGATTATAATTTTTCAATTGCCGATTATGAGGTGTTTACCACGGCATAGCAATGGAAAGAAGAAGAAGAGAAATAAAAAGGAAATGAGGAAAATATTGAGTTTTAATTTATTTATGGATCCCGAAAAAGAAGTTTTTATAAAAAAATGAAGGCCAGTGAATTTTTGGAGACATTTAAAAGGTCGGGAAGTGTAAGAGACGACACCACAAAGTCTATTATAGACGGGCTGAAGGGAAAGTGAGTCTAAAAAATAGCTAAAGGGCCAGTGAGTTCTCTGATGTGCCGTGAGTCAGTTAAAGAGGAGTTGACGGACTAATGAGTCCATCAAAGACAAGCTGACGGGCCTTGAGGCTATAATAGACTACATAAAGGTTCTATGGTTCCTTGAAAGATGAACTGAAAGCATGTGATGTTATGATAGACGAGCTGAGGAGTCAGTGAGCCAAAAGATGAATTTAAGGACCTGTGAGTGTTTGATGAACAAACCGAAGGGCCAGTGACTCTATCATAGATAAGCTGAAGACTCAGTGAGTCTTTCTGAGACGAGATAAAGCGAGAGTGAGGTCGTGATAGTCAAGCTTATAGGCCTATAGGCGAGATACAGGGCCAGTGAGTCCATCATAGACGAGCTGACGGGCCAGTGAGTCTATAAAAAACGAGCTGACGGGGCAGTGAGTCTATCATAGACAAGGTAAGGGGTAGTGAGTCTATCATAGACAAGGTAAAGGGCTAGTGAGTCTATCACAGATGAGCAGACTGGCCTGTGAGTCAATCATAGACGAACTGACGGGTCTGTGAGT